GCATAACAGCAGCAGTATAACAGCAACAGCATAACAGCAACAGCATAACAGCAGCAGCATAACAGCAACAGCATAACAGCAACAGCATAACAGCAGCAGCATAACAGCAGCAGTATAACATCAGCAGCATAACAGCAACAGCATAACAGCAGCAGTATAACAGCAGCAGCATAACAGCAGCAGTATAACAGCAACAGCATAACAGCAACAGCATAACAGCAACAGCGTAACAGCAGCAGTATAACAGTGTAATGCAGCGCTTAACCTCCGCGTAAAAACCAACGTAAAAACTTGGGACGTTGCGCTACACGGAATGAATGACACGACGTCACATCCGCCCCTGGGGCGCCCATGACGTCCTTGTGGCGCCCATGACGTCCTTGTGGCACCCACGACGTCTTTGTAGCGCCCATGATGTCCTTATGGCGCCCGTCCCTTGGCTTGAGCATTAGCTTATCACTGGGAGTGTGCCACTATTTGGACAATGAACCATTCTGTTTTACAGGTGTTCGTTCCGCGCAGCACTACCGGTGCAGGGTGCCCACAGCTGGCAGCAGTACTCGAAAGGAGGGAAGACGAAGGTATTTTTTGCCATTGTGTAGGTCATCCTGAGCCTTTAAAAGAGCGTATCAGCCCTCCGTGCAGATGGTACGTCCGTATTTTGACAGCAACAGTCAAGTGCAGGTGCAGGCTGTTCATTTATTTTCCCGACCAATCTACCCACCACATTTGTTGCCTGTGTCGGTCATTATGTGTTCTCCACACTCAGAGAAATCAAGATTTTGTCAAACTAGCGATGCACTCTTGTTTGCGCTTCCGGGTCATCCTGCTCCAGCTTAGCCCGGCAAACGTGCATTTCTATAATGCTCTATCCGCTCTCTGCTCGTGCTGTTGGTACGAAAGTGTCACTATTTGGACAATATGGCCCATTTATTTTTCTGGGTGCCAACGAAACCTTGCTATTCATCAGCACTCTGAGGTAATGAACAAATTGCCAATATATTTCTAAGACGTCTTATACGAGTTGCCGTTCTGTACATTTCAGTACTGGCGCCTTAACCTCTCCCAGTAGTTTAACTCTTCCATCCCTCTGATCCTGGAAGTGAAGGTTCGCTGGACTCCTTCCAGTTGCCGCACTGCGCCTAGTGTGAACGGGGTACAGAGCTGGCAGCAGTATTCAATAATTGGTATTACAAGGGCTCTGGAGAGTGTGATCATTGGTTCCGCTTCTCTTGTTTTGAACGTCCGTCAGATCCACCCCATCTGTCGCCTACCTCTTGCGGTTATTGCTGCTATGTAATCACCAAACTTGACCTGAGTATTCATCAACAGTCCTAGATCGCGAACGAGTCGTTTCACTTCGATTTCCGAGTTGTCAGGTGCTTAAGGTAGCGGTGCTCCATACCAGCTCTTCCGCTACCTCTGTAGCTCAGAACCTCAAACTTGGTCCCGTTGAACTGCATGTTGTTCACTTGGGCCAAGTCATATATTGCAGAGAGGTCTTCTTGCAACCTCTCACAGTCCCTCCTGTACGTGATGATCAATAGCATCCTGCATGGTGTCGTCCGCGAATGACGATGCAGTGGCGTAGTTCACTGCACCGCTTCAGTGCCGACACTTCTACTATATTCTACATCTATGTCGGAGATGTGAATGAGGAAAAGGATTGGGCCGAGTACCGTTCCCTGTGGTACTCCACTCCTCACACTAGCCTCGCTCGATATCGAGCCTCCTACAACTACAGCTTGTAGTCTTTCTGTTAGGAAGCTGTGGATCCATGCCAACAATTCACCTCCGACTCCCAGCAGTCTTAATTTTCTGAAGAGCACTCCATGGTCAACTTTGTCAAACGCTTTCGCGAAGTCCAAACAATACACACTGCATACACTCACAATAATATATAGGGTAACATGAGGCAGCGAGCCCACTGCGGGTCATGGGCCCATAGCGGGTTTCTCGCTAAGTATGGCACTTATTGGTCCGTGTTCTCTACCGCCGGTCGACAGTTTCACTGGGATGTGTGTACGGATTTACGTTTTGCTAAGTGTTTGCGTTATTAAGTTATTTGTGAATAACTGTTTTAGCCCAGATAAAATGTTTTTTGCTGCTAAATAAAATTGTTTTCGATTACTGTAGATGAAGCTTTTGAAATTACTCTGAATTATATTTTGAAAGTAATATTTATAGGGATAATTTTGAGATCAAGTTTAGACTATTAGCTTTTAAAATAAAATATTGACACGATATAAATTGAAATGATACCTAGTGGGGCAACGGGCCCATGGTGAAGTCTTGTGTTATGCATCATTAGATTTGTCTCAATGACCTTTTCAAAACTATGACTAGCTTTTTGAATTACAAATTACACTTCATATTGCATGATTTTTTTGATTTGCCGCCTCAAGGATGCAGGTTTAGTTTCTAGTTTTGCGTATTTATGACCCCTTATCGAGTTATATTGACTCATGCCTTGCCAAAAGTTGATTTCAGTCAACACCAATGAGCCAAAAGTTGCTGAGTTTTTATGGAGTTGGCTGAAATCACGATTAGGTACGAAATCTCTGCACATAATATCTGGATTATGGACGAAACTGGAACGAAGTTTTTTTCTGATCAACTAAATATATTTTTTCTAGTCAAGGATACATTTTTTCATGTCAAGGACGAATTTTTTATCGCAAGAATATATTTTTCAAGTCAAGGATATACATTTTTATGTCAATGAAATATTTTTATTCACGTCAGTGATAGATTTTTTAAGCCATGAGTATGTTTTTTTTCAAGCTAAGGATATTATTTTTTGAGTTGTTAATAAATGAATGAATGTCATATTTTCTATTACATTTTTCTTATTTTTAACTGTAAAGTGTTGTTTTACAATTTTTAAACAAAAAATATGCAATTGTGGTAAAGGGACCAAGGGTGGGTGCCTTGCCCCAAGCCCATGGGCCCATTGCCTCAGGGGTGGGGCAATGGGCCCATTTTGACACTTTTACAAAATAGTGTTTCATTAAAAACTGAATAACTCTATACGCGTCTAATTCACATCGTGCATTCTCATTAGTTGCACCTTTAAGCAAAACAAAGAACCACCTCGTATCAATTAAAACTTCATCAAAAATTTAGTTTAAAAAAAGGGGGGGGCGCTGCCCCATGTTGCCCTACTATGGTAAACATGCATGACCCGCACACAGAATACAAATGCAGTAGAAACATTGTACACAGTTACACACGCACAGCACACACATTATACACAGTTACACACGCACAGCACACACATTATACACAGTTACACACGCACATCACATACAGTATACACAGTTACACACGCCCAGCACCTACATTATACACATTTACACACGCGCAGCCCATACAATACATTATACACGCACAGCACACACATTATACACACAGTACACACCTAGTGAGTGTCTCCAGGGAAGATGTGTAGATGGCGCCTCCTACGTCGATGTGTACAGGAGCGGTGAACCTGAAACGTGCATCATTGAACAATGATTAATGATAAGTTAATCATAGCAACATTAGAGAATGATTTTGGCGTGCCAATCATTGCAACATCTAAGAATGACTATAATGATCAGTCAATTATTGCAACATCTATAAGAATGACTAATGATCAGTCAATCATTGCAACAATGTAGAATGATTAGAAATTGGCCAAATCAATGCATCATTAATAAATGATTAGTATTTGGCAAAGCATTAAATCATTAAAGGAAAATTTGATTGGTCAATCACACTGCCATCACGCATGACTATTGTCCATTTCAGGATCATTTTCAGACAATATTATACCTCATTATATATTATTCGTTCTTGCGAATCATCCTCCATCTCTTCTCGTTAAAATAACTATATTTTATAAACTATTTCAATTATAATTTGGTTCTTAATCATTTAATACCGCATTAGTGGCTTTTCATTATTTATCTTCCAAAAGAAAAATTTTTATAGTCTTCAAATACTTCGCAAATGCTTTAAAAAATTCAAAAGATTTCGCCCGATTATTTCCTGATTTCCTGCAAATGAAAATGCTAAGTCTATAATTCCTACGCCTGATTATCAAAATGTTTAATTGACTGCTATTAATAAGACATTTCTGAGAGCAAACTTCGAAATTATCCGCATTGCATCCGTAATTCATCCCAATTTTTATCAAAAATCCCAGCCGACTTCATCCAAAATCCCCACTGATCCCATCCAAAATCCCCGCTGATTTTATCCGAAATCCCCGCTGATTTTATCCGAAATCCCCGCTGATTTCAACCAAAATCCCCACTGATTTCAACCAAAATCTGCGCTGATTTCATCCAAAATCCCCAAATATTTCATCCAAAATCCCCGCCGATTTCATCCAAAACTCCTCCGATTTCACCCAGAACTCCCCATCTCTTCCCACTTTCTCTGAAACTCCCACTTTCAACAGAAATCAGCCAGATTCCCACCAAAATCCCCCAATTTTTCCCTGTGGGGACTCACTTGGACGCCGCAGCGACGGCGGGGATCCCGCAAATTTTGGGGGGAGGATGGGGGAGGTCTCTTATACACATCT